GAGTAAATTAACCTGTTCATCTTCCACCTTCTCTCTTTCCTTATAGGAACTTCAGGTTGTTCCTGAGCAATAGCTGGTAACAATTACCTGCTACCTTTCTGCTGTATATCAGTAACTAGTTCCTAACTCTTCCCAACACCACAGTTCTCAAAGTTAGTGTGCCAAGTAGTGTTTCTGGTCTGGCAACCTTCGGGACAATTTTGGTAGCCAACAAATCCTCTGGAATGTGGGAACTCGGGACCTTTCACTAGAATTTGAATTAGTACTGTGTATAGAGTTGTCAGGAGAGTTAGATTCAGAAGGCAGTCTTATAGGGATTAGAACACAAAGTTGGCAGTGAAATAGACCCAAGTTCAAAACTAGGCCCTACACTAGCTGCTGCACTTGAACAAATTCACTTTCCCTATTTATAATGGGAACATCACTAGATCTACTTTGTGGGTTGTTATCAGGATGATAACATGAGTGAATTCATGTAAAGCTTTGAACAATGCCTAAAATGGTAAGTGTGCAGTAAAAGCTATGATAATTACTATAATGTAATCCATTAGCAAGGGAGCTGGTGAATGACTTATCACATATTATAAACCCCTTACTATGCAATGGATATTAGGTCCTAGAGAAATATTCTTCATTTATTTTTGTACTTAAAAAAAAAGATTTTAGCCCTGGTTGGTGTAGCTCAGTGGATTGAATGCGGGCCTGCGAACCAAGAGTTCGCAGTCCGATTCCCAGTCAGGGCACATGCCTGGGTTGCAGGCCAGTTCCTGGCAGGGGATGCATGAGAGGCAACCATACATTGATGTTTCTCTCCCTCTCTCCTTCCCTTCCCCTCTAAAGATAAGTAAATAATAATTTTAAAAAATCTTTAAAAAAGATTTTATTTATTCTTTTAGAGAGGGAAAGAAAGGGAGAGAGGGAAACATTACTGTGTGGTTGCCTCTCATGTGCCTCTTACTGGGGACCTGGCCCACAACCCAGGCATGTGCCCTGACTGGGAATCGGACTGGCCATCTTTTGCTTTGTGGGACAACACACAACCAACTGAGCCACACCAGTCAGGACTAGTTGAATATTTTTTGTTTTCTAAGTAATATATTTAGGGAGGTATAATGCTCTTTACAGATTAATTTATGGTGGGAATTGAAATTCTTTAGTGGAAAACCCTCCCAACTCCATCAGAAGAATGAATTTTTAGGCACATAAAGCAGTAAAAGGTTATAGGCTTTGGGGTCAGAGAGACCTGACTCTGAGTTCCTTTACTTAATAGCTGTGGAATCTTATTTTTTCACTCTTCTGAGGCTTGGTTTCCTTATTTCTAAAAGAAGTTAATATTTCAAGCTAAAAGGATGTTGAAAGGGCTAAATTCATTCATTCATACTCCCTTCCATTCATCCACCCACCCACCCAAGCAAATATTTATTTATTGAGCATCTACTATATACCAGACATTTTTCTGGGTACTAACACTATAAAAGTAAACAAAACAAGCCATAATTCTTATCCTCATAACAGTTTAAATTCTAAAAAGATAAAATTGGGGGGGGGTTGAGAACGTTTATGTGAAATAAAAAACTCTTTAAAATTAGTTATTCCTACAGGCCTACCTAAAGAAGATAGAAACATTTCAAACAAACAACCTAACCCTACGCCCGCAAGAACTCGAGGAACAACAAAAAAGACAGCCCAGAGCAAGCAGAAGGAAGGAAATAACCAAGATTAGAGCAGAACTAAATGACATGGAGACTACAAGCACAATCCTAAGGATCAATGAATCCAGGAGTTGGTTCTTTGAAAAGATAAACAAAATAGACAAGCCTTTAAGTAGGCTCATCAAGAAAAGAACAGAGAAGACTCAAATAAACACAATCAGAAATGAAAGAGGAGAGATTACAACTGATACCACAGAAATAGAAGGGATTGTAAGAAATTACTATGAAGAACTGTATGCCAAGAAATTTGAAAACCTAAGGGAAATGGACACATTTCTAGAAAAATATAATCTCCCAAAACTCAATGAAAAAGAAGTAGAAAACGTGAATAGACCAATAACAGCAAAATAAATTGAAGCAGTAATCAAAAAACTCCCATCACACAAAAGCCCTGGACCAGATGGTTTCACAGGAGAATTCTACAAAGCATTTAAGGAAGAGCTAACCCCTATTCTTCATAGACTATTCCAAAAAATCCAGAAGGATGGAAAACTCTCAAATTCTTTTTATGAAGCCAGCATCATCCTAATTCCAAAACCAGATAGAGACACAACAAAGAAAGAGAACTTCAGGCCAATATCGCTGATGAACATAGACACTAAAATCCTCAGCAAAATATTGGCAAATCGCATCCAACAATATATCAAAAAGATCATACACCATGACCAAGTGGGATTCAGCCCAGGGATGCAAGGATGGTTCAACATTCGCAAATCAGTAAATGTAACACATCACATAAACAAAAGCAAAACAAAAACCACATGATCATATCAATAGACATGGAAAAAGCTTTTGATAAGGTACAACACCCATTTATGATAAAAACACTCAGCAAAGTGGGAATAGAGGGAGCATTCCTCAATATAATAAAGGCCATATATGAGAGACCTACAGCCAATATCATACTCAATGGGCAAAAATTAAAAGCTTTTCCACTAAGATCAGAAACAAGACAAAGATGTCCACTTTCACCACTTCTATTCAATATAGTTTTAGAAGTTTTGGCCACAGTGATTAGGCAAGAAAAGGAAGTAAAAGGCATCCAAATAGGAAAGGAGGAAACAAAACTGTCACTGTTTGCAGATGACATGATAGTGTACATGGAAAATCCTGTAGACTCTACCAAAAAACTGCTCGAACTAATTAATGAATTTGGCAAAACAGCAGGATACAAAGTCAATATCCAGAAATCAAAGGCATTTTTGTATACTGACAATAAATCAGCAGAAGCAGAAATCAAGAAAAAAATCCCATTCGATACAGCAAAAAGAAAAATAAAATATCTGGGAATAAACCTAACCAAGGAGGTAAAAGACCTGTATGCAGAAAACTACACAGCACTGAAGAAAGAAATCAAGGAAGACACAAACAAATGGAAACATATACCTTGTTCATGGATTGGAAGAATTAACATCATCAAAATGTCCATACTACCCAAAGCAATATACAGATTCAATGCAATACCTATTAAAGTACCAATGGCATATTTCACAGACATAGAAGAAACACTTCAAAAATTTATATGGAACCATAAACGACCCCGAATAGCAGCTGCACTTTTGAGAAAGAAGAACAAAGTAGGAGGGATCACAATACCTGATATCAAACTGTATTACAAAGCCACTGTAATCAAAACAGCCTAGTACTGGCATAAAAACAGGCACACAGACCAATGGAACAGAACAGAGAGCCCAGAAATCAACCCAACTTTCTACAGTCAATTAATATTTGACAAAGGGGGCAGTAACATAAAATGGAGTAAAGATAGCCTCTTCAACAAATGGTGTAGGGAGAAATGGACAGCTACATGCAAAAAAATGAAACTTGAGCACCAACTTACACCATACACCAAAATAAATTTAAGGTGGATAAAAGACTTAAATATAAGCCGTGACACCATGAAAGTCCTAGAGGAGAACATCGGCAATAAAATCTCAGATATTTCACGCAGCAACATTTTTACTGATATGTCCCCTAGAGCAAGGAATATAAAAGAAAGAATAAACAAATGGGATCTCATCGAAATAAAGAGCTTCTGCGTAACTAAAGAAAACAGTATTAAATTAAAAAGACAGCCAACTGTATGGGAAAACATATTTGCCAATGATACCTCAGACAAGGGTTTAATCTCCAAAATATACAAAGAACTTACACGACTCCACTCTAAGACTTCTAACCCAATTAAAAAATGGGAAAAGAACTTGGACAGATACTTCTCCAAGGAGGACATACAGAAGATCCAGAGACACATGAAGAGATGCTCAATATCGTTAGCTATCAGAGAGATGCAAATTAAAACCACAATGAGATACCACTTTACACCAGTCAGGATGGCTATCATAAACAAAGCAACAAACAACAAAAGTTGGAGAGGGTGTGGAGAAAAGGGGTCCTTAGTTCACTGTTGGTGGGATTGCAGATTGGTACAACCATGATGGAAAACAGTATGGAATTTTCTCAGAAAAATAAAAATCGACCTGCCTTTTGACCCAGCAATTCCACTGCTAGGATTATATCCTAAGAATCCTAAAACATCAATTTCAAAGAACCTATGCACCACAATGTTCATAGCAGCACAATTCACAATAGCCAAGAGTTGGAAGCAACCTAGGTGCCTGTCAGTAAATGAATGGATCAAAAAATTATGGTACATATACACAATGGAATTCTATACAGCAGAGAGAAAGAAGGAGCTCCTACCCTTTGCAACAACATGGATGGAACTGGAAAGCATTATGCTGAGTGAAATAGGCCAGGTGTTGAAAGACAAATACCATATGATCTCACCTTTAACAGGAAGCTAAACAACAAAACAAACAAGCAAGCAGAATAAAAACAAGACACTGAAATAGAGAACAAGGGGACAGTGACCAGAGGGGAGAGGGAAGGGAATTTAAGGGGGAAAAAGGTGAGGGATTTGGAGGAACAAGTATAAAGGACACAGGGACAACAACTAAGGGGGGTGGAAATGGGAGGGAGGTGGGGAGCAAGGGGCGGGGGGGGCTGGGATGGGAGAAATAGACAAAAAACTGTACTTGAAAAATAACTAAATAAAGTTATTAAAAAAACAAAGAAAGAAAGGAAAAAAAATAAAATTAGTTATTCCATCAATGTATGCAGTGCTTATGTCACTAATAAAAGGCTTAAGAAGCAGTTAATTGTGGCAGAAATTCAAATTAGAATCTATATTCAGTTGTAAAGATATTCTAACAAAAAATAAAGTAGAAATGAGTTAATTGACAGTCAAAAGATTTTTACATTACTTTTTATTAGGTAATCTTATAATTTCAAAACAGCTCTTTGGGTATATAAACATGTATATACAATTTTCTAATGTGTAAATCAAAAGCAGTAGTTAATTATAGCTGATGGAATTTGTATTCCTCAAAACCTTACCAAAACATTTGTTATAAAAATCAATAAAATTGTTTAACACGTTTACAAAATTTTGGGGTGTGTGCACATAATTATTTTCAAGCTTGCTTTACAAAACAAAGGAGTGCATTTTCTATCCATGTGATCATAGTGACTCCCAAAAGGAGTTCAAAGGCAGAAAAAAGAAGGTAGCATTGCCTCATAATGCAGCATTAACTAATACTGACTTACCCGGGGACATTCGTGAAAGAGCCTTTGTTATCACATGTTGTAAAAATATTTCAAAAGTAATACTCCATTTCTATGAATAAAACAGAAAGTAAGACTTCATATTCTTAGACTAACTTGTTACCATAAAAATTGCATTCATTTTGCAGATATTACCGACACCCCACATTTCTTTAAAAATATTTACGATATTTGAAATTCAAAATGAAACCCACAGTCTTATTCTCCTCCCTATACATTCACTGAATGCAGATTTAAGTGAGCACATCTCATTTTGACGGTGCCCTTTCTCTGTGCACTTGAAAGATGACTACAATATGGTATATGTGTATTTGGAAACAGTACCAAAATTAAGATAATCTATGCAAAACCAGCAGCCTGTACTTCTAGAGACAGTTGTCATTAAAAAAAAAAAAAAAAGCCCTGAGTCAGTATTTTTTGCAAAAGCAATGAAGAAGAGTGCTCTGAAGTTATTTCATAACTTATGGAATAGTTATGGTTGTCCAGTATTCAATTATTTTATTTTCATTTTGATTGAAGAGGTATGGCTTTTGTTTCATTAATCCAATTCAGGTCATTTCCTAATACTCAATCTCATTTAAATCTTCAGAATATCCTGATGATTGCTGAGTTGTATCTTCCACGTCTGTCAGAAGACAAATAGACAATAACAGTTTTCTCTATTTTTGTTGTAGAAAAATACTTCATTGGCATTCTTAGGATTTCAGACTGTTTCAAAATTCCTTTTCAATTAAACTTATAATTAAATAATACTGTTACCTGCACAGGGTCCTGCTTGAAATTTAATATCATCAATGGCAATATCACTTCTTATCGACACTCCCCGAATGGCTTCAAAAATTATCTGAAAGATAATGAATACGTTTGATTTAGAAATACAGTCATCCTGACAAAACAAGGCTGGTCGGGGGCAGATCCAGATTGCATGGGTCTAGAAGCCAAGATTGTAGTCAGGGCCCCCTTTAAGAAAAGGAATACAAAATCACAAATTCAACTTTAGGTACAAAAGAGAACACTTACTTAGAATTTAAAGAAGTTCATAACAAATTACTGGAGGCTCAGAGATTCAGACCCCTTTCTTTTGAGATCTCTGTAGGCAATTTCCAAGAAATGCTCACCTTGAAATGCTTCCTGGTAATGATCTGGTATTCCATCCCCCAACTAGAACAGTCTGCTCCCAGCACTCACAGGGCCCATGAAAGTCATGGGCCCAGAAGCTTAAGCTTCCTTGGCCTTTCCATAAATCTACTTTTGACACTGGTGGTAGGTGGAAGAATTTAATGTGACTGATGAGACACATGTATTAACAGCAAAGCATAATAATTAAATTTACCAATCTCCCCCCCCAGTGTTTCACTGATCATATTCAATACCATGACATCCAAGAAAGCCCAGGAAGAAGAGGAAAGCTGTTTTATGACTCTAGATCCTGAGAAGAAAATAATCAAATATTCAGGTTCTAGAGTAAATCAATTGCATTACACTCTAAGGCAGCCCATTGAATGCTCCAGTGACGCTGCAGGTAAGAAAAAGTGTCCAGAAGACACATTTTCTCTACTGATTTTGTAAGCAAAAAAGTGGGTAATTAATCAGCATATGAAACTATCTTAAAATTAATGGCCCAAAGCAGCTTCAATAACAGCAGTGCAGCAAAAGAACATTAATAAGAATTCTAAGGACCCAATTCCTAAACCAGGATTCAAATCATTGTCAAGAAGAGAGAGAAAAAGAGTCCTAACACATCTAGACAACAAGATACATGAGTGGAGTTAATAAGCATTTTAGTTTTCTGAAAAATAATAAAACCTGTTTTTTTGTTCACCAAGTCTGCAATATGAAGCGTGATAGACCAGTTACTTGATGGCATTATATTAATAGTCTGTGGTTGGGCTAAAACACTCGATTTCATAAAACCTCCTTTGAATTTCCTTAACACTTGAGCACTAACTAACTTATAGCATTATGATTTTGCCCTTGTATTATAGATATATGTCCTATTAGTATGTAACAGATTATTTAAGAATAAGATAAAAATACTACTTTTTCTTTCAATTTAAGTGTTATTTTTTGAAATGGCTACTAAGTCATTAGGACATCAATACTTATTTTTTCAACCGAACTACTTAGTAAATGGCACTGCTGTATATTTCTTTTGGTCCAGGCATCAGAAAACATTCACTGAGACAAAGGGCAGCATGAACAAGAAAAGTCGGAGACGTGCTCTTAGCTGAGTACCTGACACATAATAATTCCTCGTAAACATTAGCCAGTGTCATAAATAAGGACGAGGCACACATTTCAGTGAGCTGAGAATCTGCCTCGCACTTTCTTCCACGGGCATCAAAACACAAGAAACCAAAGGGGAAAACACCTGAGAGCAGAGGAGGAAAGATGAGCAAAGGATCCAAAGGAAATAGAATCGTTTTGTGTTTTTGATCAATAGCGAGTCAGATTCTGCTTTCACACTTGGATAAATTCCCCCGGCAGGAGCATGATGAAAATGTTGCCACTTGATGATACTTCTTCCACAAGGATAATCTGATGACTGGAACGTCACTGGGAGGCCACCCATACACTCTCCATACGGGAGGAGTCTCAAACCGCAGCAGCCCCACGGCATTCTAAGAGTCATCTCCACCTGCCTGCCCCCCGCCCCTGCCACTGATGAACACGCTTACCGGAATAGCAAGTGGTGAACAGATACTTACTAAAATGAGATATTTTGGCCTTATACGTACATTAAGAATAATAGCTACATCATGTCTGTCATGGTGATACACATTAGAGACCAGAGAGGTTTAGAGGGAATATATTTTTAGAAACAATAATATCTTCATATTTTAGTACTTTAAAGTTTGCAAAAACCCTTTCAAGTACATAATCTTATTGGACCCTCACTTAACTCTGGTGATGTCATTGTGGCAGGAATATTATCCCATTTTGAAAATATATAAATCTCAGGGAGAATGAGATTTTTTCCCCAGAGTCACCAGTGCCTGTGACATCCAGGAGAATGAGCGTATTTTGGAACTTCTGTGGTGGAAGGGAGTGGCTTAGTGATATTACTTTGGAACCAGCCTCTCTCTGCCACTTGCCAGCTGGGTGTCCATCCCCCCCACCCCCGCTGTAAAGAGGAGCTATAAGATGAATTGGAAGAACTTATTTGCAGCTCTGAGCACTGTAAGTGCCTGGCACGTGGAAGATGGCCAGTCTGTTTGCACAGACACTAGGCTGTTTTGAGGAAATCAGTTCAGTCTCCACATAGTCATTTGGGAAACCTGAGGGAGTCACTAAATCCAGAAAAAAATTCCTCATGGCAGAGTTATAACTATTTCATTCTAAGCCAAAGAGAATGGTTAGAAGTCTTCCTCCCAGACTGTGAGCTGTAAATCTCTCAGGCCATTCTGCATCCTTCGAACTTGAACACCCCAAGGTACCAGCCCAGATGCCTCACTACTCTACGCTCAAAAAGCATTTGAAAGAACCAGTCACCCAGCAAGTCTAGTAGATGCAAGGCTCTGTACCTGAGCCCCTGGGCTTAGATGCTGAGAGTTACTCATTCCCCAGAACTCAAATCCTAGACCTCTTGTGTCTCAGCATCATTGGAGGGGACAGTGATGGTTAAAAAACAATACTCAGGATCCACCTGCAAGACTCAGATTCATGTAGTTTAGAACAGAGATTCTGCATCGTTAGCATATATGAGAACCACCAGGAGGGTTTGTTAAGACACATATTTCTGGGTCCCACCTACAGAGCTCCTGGTCAAAATGAGGCCTGAGAATGTGCATTTCAGGTGAGTCTCATTTTAGGTGATTTGCACTATGGTTGTTGTCGCTTGTCTCAGGACCACATCTTGAAAACATCTAGATTGGGAATGGTGCCCTGGTAGCCTAGCACAATTAATTTATCACCTCTGAATGATGACCAACTGTAGTAGTAAATCCCTGAGGAATCCACTTTCTGTAAACAGGCATTAAATCACTGTCAAAATAATCCTTGGGGCTATCTGGTATTCTTTACTCAATTTCTAGACAGTTTGATCCATGCTGAAATAATGGGCCATCCCTGGATGATTGTTGGGAACCACTCTGCCTGGTTTCAGGAGTTGTAACTGCCCCCCATGGCTAAGGCTGAGTGAGTGACCTCTGGAATGCAAGCCACTAAGGAGAGAAGTTTGTCTCTGGCAACTTCTGCTTCAACCCCATGCCCCCAATGCTTGGTCAGATAGTCAATGATGGGTAAGACCCCTCAGAGGGGGGGCAACCTAAGCAAGACATGATCACTTGGGAGGCCATCATGGAAGGACTCAGGGGGCTGTAACAAAGAGGAAGTGATGGACCTTTGCCCCCCGGCTATTCTGACATAGTCTGAGTCCCCATGTCCTCTTGGAGAAGCACTTTTTGGCTCTAATCCACTTAAGCCTGAAAACCTATGATGGGGGAGGCAGTGCAGCCCCTTGCCAGCTAGAGTGAGATCTGGGGTGACCAGGCATAAGAAAGAATTCCTAAAAGTCCTGTGAGGCCTGCTTTGCTAAGAGTGCTTTCATTCATATGATAAAGGGTCTGAGCAAGAAATGAGTATGTCTCCCAAAGTTTCTGCAACCCCCTTACCTGACAGACACTGACTCAAACTAAGCTCTCAGATTTCTTTGAAATGTTATCTACTGTTTGATCCTTACCACCTGTATTCCTGTGTATTACAACCCAATAAAAGCAGTTGAGGAAGGGGCTCCTGGCCTTTCTCCTTTGAGAGACTGGCCACCTCTCTTCCCCAAGCAGATCATGTCTTGGTAGTGTTACTTTCATCCATGGTGGATGGGGGGACTTGCTGGCAAAGTTGCCCCCACAGAAGATGGCACATCTTCCCTCTGTCATCTGTTCCTTAGCAATGCTGCACCCTGGATGGCAAAGCAACCAGGCCATCTGAGCTTCTGCCACTCCTCCCCATTTAGATTTGTAGAAAAGTTACTGTGGTTGTGGGTGGTATAAAATAAAGTCCTTATTTTCAATACCTCTTCCTTAGAGGTAGAGCTTAGAGCAAGTAGCCTGTGGTTAACGTTGAGATGTACTGGGTCAGGAGGTTTATCAGCCAGAAGCAAGAAAGAGGAAGAAGCAGGACTTTTAGCTGAAGGTTCCATATGAGACTTCCACAGAGCAAGTTCAGAAACAGTCAGTGGTCTGAAGGTTATCTCCCCAGAGTTTTCTGAAGCTTTGGCTCATGGTGGGCTGGTGAAGTCAGTGGCTGTCAGGAGGCCACTGCTGATCTCTAGACTAGCTTGGCTGCTCAACCTTATGTATTGGAATGTAAAAGGCTCATTCCTGAGGCTGCCCAGATTCTTTTATAATCAAGATCTGATAGAATGAAGGTCTTCTATAGTACATGGAAAGACCCAGGGAGAAACCCAGGATTCAGAATTAAGGCTCTCAGTTTTGCTCTGGCTTGGTGGCTCAGTTGATAAGAACCTAGTTCTGTAGACCAAAATGTTTGGGTTTGATTCCCCATCAGGACACATATCTAGGTTGCAGGTTCAATCTCCAGTCAGGGGGGTATATGGGAGGCAACCTATCTATGTTTCTCTCTCATACTGATGTTTCCCTCTCTCTCTCTCAAATCAATAAACGTATTTAAAAAATTAAAAAAGAAGACTTCTGTTTTTTTTCTGCATGAATGCAGACAGAGTTAAACCTCTGGACCACATACTCTGATAAACATAGGCTTATAACACAAGCCTTCGTATGTGGGTAAATATGAGTGAACGATGCAGCTGCAATAGCTAATTAGGTAAATACCATGTTTAGAAGAAAGATTCTCTTTCAGAGATTTGCAGGACACATAGAATGTACTTGACATGCATAATGTACCAAGACAAAAATAGATACACTTTCATCACTGGGCTGCAAAATCACTTTGTGCATAAACACCCAAAGCTATCTCTCCTGCCTAATGTCCCATTCACTGCTCAGATTTAATCAATATAGACTAATTATGTTTACTCTTAAACAAGTACTGCCTTTATCTATGACCCTGAAAAAGAACAAAACATTCTCTTTGGTAGCAAGAAAAATGAAGAACATCAGAAGCTTGCGGGAACGTTTTCCAGTACTTGATTCTCATCTCCTTTGGCTTACCTGGTGTTGCCTCTCACAGCTGTATTCAACCTGTGCTCGGAGCCAGGAAATGCTCTGTTCACCTCTTCTTCTCCATAAGAGGAACTCTTCTCTCTCACCTTCTTTTTTCAAATAAACACTCAGCAGGCCAGTCCCTGCTCCATACATGTGGTAGAAGAAGGCCAGGCAGTGTTTCCCGGTGACTCCTCGCAGAGGCCCGGATGAGAGGCGTGCTTTCTGCCCGTACACCATGTGGGAGGCCTCGATGTACATGTAGTAGCCTTGGGAGCAATGCAAAACCAGGTATTGTTAAAAAGGACACAGATTATATTCTCTCCTTTCTCTTCTGAGTAGTGTTCCTGGAAACAAATTAGAGCAAATGGATGACTTGATTATAGTACTGATAAAGGATATTACCATTTTGGAGAATATGTATAATCCGAAGAGAATAAGTACGCTACAAAATTTAGACCATCGAAATACTTTTACTTAATAACTTACAATTCAGTTTAATATACAGGAGGTAATTAGTATATTAGTATTATGCTACTGATGTGGCAATTAACATATCAGAATTTAGTCTACTAACTCATGCGCAATATTCTGGCGCTTCCAGACACCGGTTTAGGGGAGAGAGCACAGATTTTGCAGTCAGGTAGATCTGGGTTCAAGTCTTTCCTTTAATATTCATTGTCTCTGTGATCCTGGTCTAATGATTGTGTTCTTTGAAGCATCATTTAAAAACAAGAGCTGGTAAATACCTGTGTTACAGAGTTGTGAGAGTTATATACCATGTGTGGTGTGTGCCCACATGTAATAGATATTCAAATATTAATTTCCTGTCCTGTCCTCTTTCCTGAAATTTTTTGTAACAATTCTTTTAATCTTGAAAACATGTTCATACAATACTTAATATAATTATGCATGATATTTATAATATTATATACCATATACTACATAACATATCAATCATATACTATAATACTTTATGCTTCTATTTTCCCTTCCTAATTTTAGTTTGGTTTTGAATTTGCTGGTTTTGGGCAGAAGCAGGGTTAGTCTGCAAGTAACCAGGGTAGTAGTGTGCTGGAACCAGTGTCCAGGGGCTCCCAAGAGTCCATGAAGTGACTTCGGTTGGTAGGTCTAAATGACCTCATGTTGGTAGTTTTAAATGGGTCACGACGAAAGTATTTACACCACAGAAATAGGACATTTCTGCAAATCAGTGCTCCCTCCCCCCAAAATAGAGCTGGTTGGTGTTAATTAATTATCATCAAGTCACTGAAATAAGGCAATATATGAAAAGTGATGACTGGTGAAAAGTTTATATCTCTTCTACCTAAAAAATATACACAAATATTTGCATGCATTATTATTGTCTTCTTTGCCAATGTTGATTTTCTTAAATTCATGATATAAAAAATAACTTTTACATAGTTTATATCTCTTACTATTTCATGCAGGCATTAATGGACAAATTGAGGGGGGAATGTAAGAGATTCCAAATAATGCATGTAAGTGAAGTGGTGGCTAGGTAGCTTTCTTTATACTTAAAGTTTAATCAATGAGCTCTGGCATCTCCCAAAATGCAGTGTTTGAAATACCCCAACCAGAATTCATCTGAAGCTCCATCTATGCTCCTTCAAAGCATTCTCCGCTCCCTTTCCCCAATTTCCACAAATAGATCTGAGAAGTCCTACCGGCTATTAATAGGGTGGGAGACAGTTCTGCCCAATTCGGTCTTACAAAATTGTGTGCACTGTGTAACGCCTTTCCCCAGTAAAGTTATCATCTGTAAAACTGGACCATCAGAGCCCTGGGGCGTGGCCTTCATTGCACCAATCATTCCCATGATCTGCTTTAAAATTTAGGAAGACTACTGTCCATATTTCTGGAATGCCCACCAATCACATCCTTGTTACTAAAACCAATGGTGGCTTTTCAGTCCTTGCCATTCTGTACTATCAGCAACATGGGACATAGTAGATCACTTCTGCCTCCTACAAGTACTTTCTTATCTTGGCTTGCAGGACACTGTACTCTCCTGGTTTTTCTCCCATTTCACTGGTCACTCCTTTGCTAGTTAACCTTTCTTCTTTCTTCAGAATCCAACCTTTCTTTTCTCGCCTGTTGACCTGGGGGTGCTCCAAGATCCAGTTCTTGAACTTCTCTATTCCCACCCACTCCTTTGATCTCATCTTGCTTCGTGGCTTTAACTGCTACATTTGTTGTCATTTCTCAAGTTTAAATGTCCAAATCTTTGCTGAAATCCAGACTTGTTTATTCGAACTGTGTAATGGACATCTCCACTTATTGTCGAATAGACATCTCAAACCAAACATGTTCAAAACTAAATTCCTCACAGCTTTACCTTAAAACCTGCTCTACCCTTTCTAGTTGGCCAGGCTGAAACCTGGGAGTGCTGTACTACTCTTTGCCTCCTCTTATTCTCCACATCCAGGCTGTCAGAATGCCTGTTGGATCTACCTTCAAAATGTGCCTAGAATTCAGTCATTTTCCTTCTTCCCACTTTTAGTGCTTCCTCCTGGTCTGAGCCACTATCATTTCTCGTCTGGATGAATGCAACACTTCTCAAATAGTCTGCCTGCTTCTACCTTTGTTTTCTGTAATCTGACCTCCACCTCAACATTGCAATCATAATTCTTTGACTTCATTACTTTCATTCTTTCACTGGCAAGAAAATTGCTACATGAGAAGCATGCTACACCTTCTTAACAAAAGCTAAAAACTTACCAGTCCTCTCTTTGAAACTTTTCATTGGCTCAGTATTTTACTCAGAGTAAAAGCTGAAGGCCCGACAATCACCCTATCCTATAATCACCTGCCCACTCTCTTACCGCTCTGCTGCCCACCACCTTCCTCTTCTACTTTCTCCTTACTCAGTGTTTCGTGGTCACAATGGCCTGCAATATGGTAGGTATACTACCACATCAGGGCCTGTGCATGTGCCAGTGCCTCTGCCTAGAAGGGCTTTCCTCCCATTTCCTCCCTTGTGAACTCAAGTCTCATTGTCTCACCTCTAAGTCTTTGCCCAGCTATTACCTTTGCTATTAGGCCTATTTTGACTACACTATTACAAACTGCAATCCTCATCCTTCAGCATTTCTCATTCCCAACACCCTAATTTATTATTTCCCACAGCATTTAATTGCCTTTTACCATACTGTATACTTCTTATTATTTTTTCTTTGTTTGTCTCCCTCTTCTAGAATACACTAAGGCAGGCAAAGACATGTCTGGGTTTACTTTGCTATTGCTACCATGCCCCTAGATCCTAGAGCAGTGCTGGAGCATAAAAGGTGCTCAGAAAATATTTGTATAAACAAATGAAACAAATATTTGAACAAACACAGCTCTAAGGCACAAGCCACGTTGAACATGTGCAGAGCACCTGACTCTACCAAGGCCACTCCAGTTGTGTGAGAGCGCTGGCGATGAGACATGCACTTGACTGGGATCCTCCAAGGTAAAACGAGCACAAACCTGAGTTTCGAGAAAATTAAAATCGCATCAAAGCAAACACTCTCAAACTGGTTTCGTACCATCTGATATAGTTTTCTCCACACATAAGATAATTACTCTCATTCTTTCACTGGCAAGAAAATTGCTACATGAGAAGCAATGGGGTTTTGGCACTTTCAGCAATATAGAAACTTTTATTGTTCTTTCTTTTAAGATTTTCAAACTTAAGCTAGGCTAGATATAAACAAATACAGATATACATAATCCTAATAGAAGTGTATAGTTAATATAATTCCATGAAAATAAGGTCAAAGCATGAAATGACCATGGTTTACCACCCAACTACGTACAAAGATATCCCATTCTATTCTATGCAAAGTCAGTGGCACAGTGGATTGAAACCCTACCTTAATAGTGGAACCTAATCAACAAAACAAACAAACAAATGAGCAAAATAGAACCAGAGACATGGAAATAAAGAACAAACGGACTGTGACCAGAGGGGAGGGGGATAATGGGGAAGAAGGGGATGGAGCAAATCAAGGAAAAGGAATAAAGGGCTCATGGGCACCTACGACAGTGTGGGGATTGACTGGGGGGGCAGGGCAGGGGAGAGCAACTGGGCAAAAAGGTGGGGCAACTGTAATTGAACAATAATAAAAAAAATAAATAAACCCTATCTTAATGCATGCTTAACCTAAAGACCACTTTCTCCAAAAATGATTCTTAAGGAAACAAAAAGAAAAATAGCTTTCGCACCTGGCTTTGGGAGTCCTAAGTCAAGATAAAACATTCAGTTGGGGGAGAGAGGAAGGTTCCTCTGAAAGAGGCCGTCACGGGGAAAGTGGCAGGCAGAACCTACTGGGGCCTGAAACATCATCTCTTCCCAACGCAAAGAAAGCAATGGATCCATCATGAGGGAGAGATGCCCCAAGAGGTGTGTTTTGTCTAGTGATAACAATATGAGTCCCAGCCAGAGTTGGTGTGAGGCCCTGGAGTGAGGGGGCAACTCTGCCTGTAAAGTCACCCCATCCGCCATGGATGAAAGTGAAACTATCAAGACATGATCTGCTTGGGGAGGAGAGGTGGTCAATCTCTCAGAGGAGAAAGACCAAGAGCCCCTTCCTCAACTGCTTTTATTGGGTTGTAATACACAGGAATACAGGTAAAGCTCAACAATCAATGTCAGGTGGCAAGGGTCAAACAGTAGACAAGATTTCAAAGAAATCTGAGGGCTTAGTCTGAGTCAGTGTCTGTCAGGTAAGGGGGTTGGTTTGCAAAAACTTTGGGAGACATACTCATTTCCTGCTCAGACCCTTATCATATGAATGAAAGCACTCTTAGAAAAGCAGGCTTCACGGGACTTTTAGGAACGCTTTCTTATGCCCGATCACCCGGATCCCACTCTAGCCAGCAAGGGGCTGCACCGCCTCCTCCATCATAGGTTTTCGGGTTTAAGTGGATTACAGCCAGGAAGCACTTCTCCCAGATGGAAATGGGGACTCGGGCTATGTCAGAATAGCCAGGGGGAGAGGGTCCATCACTCCCTCTTTGTTGCAGCCCCCCAAGTCCTTCCATGATGGCCTCCCAAGTGATCATGTCTTGCTTAGGTTGCCCCCCCTCTGAGGGGTCTTACCCATCATTGACTATCTGACCAAGCATTGGGGGCAGGAGGATGAAGCAGAAGCAGAGTTTGTTACCAGAGACAAGCTTTGTCTCCTAAGTGGCTCACATTCTGGAGGTCGCTCACTCAGCCTTAGCCATGGGGGGCAGTTACAACTCCTGAAACCAGGCAGAG